TTTAGGGTTTAGGGTTTAGGGTTTGTGTGTTGGTGCAGGTTCCGTATCATCACTAAGCAGCGGTTCATCTGGTGCTGCTGCTGCTGCTGCTGTTGCTGCAGTAGAGAGTAGGTGGGAGAGTATAGAGAGTGTATGGGGGCAGCAGCAGCAGCAGCGTTTGCTGCTGCTGCAGCAGGAGGAGGAGAATTTATATGAGGGTCTAGCAGCAGCAGCAGCAGCACTAGAGACAGAAGCAGAAGCAGCAAGAAGATACACAACAGAAAGAATAACAGATCTATGCAGACAAACAGAAACACAAATTAAAATTTTCGCGCAGCAGCTTGCTGCTGCTGCTGCAGCAGAAATAAATAACTTTGCTGCTGCTGATAATATAGATGAACAAGACCCTAGAACACAGTTCCTTAATAAAAGGTATACACAAACCCTAAACCCTAAACCCTAAACCCTAAACCCTAAACCCTAAACCCTAAACCCTAAACAATACACAATAAACAATAAACAATAAACAGGAACGAGAACAATAAACTGCAGCAGTGGAGCAACTCAGAGTCTCTCTAAACCCTAAACCCTAAACCCTAAACCCTGCCAAACCCTAAACCCTAAACCCTAAACCCTAAACCCTAATTCTGTGTGTTGTGATTTGTAGAGAGGATGTATTAGCAGCAATAACAGCACTAGCTGAGCAGCAGCAGCAGGCAGTGACAGCAACAGAGGANGAGAGGATGTATTAGCAGCAATAACAGCACTAGCTGAGCAGCAGCAGCAGGCAGTGACAGCAACAGAGGATCTGCTGCAGCAGCGGCTGCAGCAGCAGCAGAAGCAGTGGTTTGCTGCTGAGGAAGAAAGGCAGCACCGCAGACACGTGCTGCGGGTGATGGAGCTGCACAGCCTCACAGCAGCACTGCAGCAGCAAGTTGCTGCAGCAGCAGCTAAAATTAAATCCGCTATTGCTGCCAGCAGATGATACTTATACCTGCTGCTGCTGCTGCTGCTGCTGCTGCTGCTGCAGCAGCAGCAGCTGCTGCTGCTGCTGCTAACGCGCAAAGACAATTCAATGAAATAAACCGAGTTACAAATGTTGCTGCTGCTGCAGCTGTTCCTTCTGCTGCTGCTGCAGCAGCAGCAGCAGCAGCAACTGATGCTGCTGCTGCTGCTGCGTACCACAGTTTCAGATACGATAACGCATCCATACTGCACGCAGCAGCAGCAGCAGCAGCTGCTGCTGCTGCTGCTGCTGCTGCTTCTGCCGCGATAGAAGCGGCTACAGCCAGCACACGAACAGGGGCACTGCAACAGCAGCACCAGCAGCAGCTGCTGCTGTTTCTGCTGCTGCTTCTCCACGTAGCTGCTGCTGCTCTTGCTGCTGCTTCACGCAGAGGCTGCTGCTGCTGCTGCTGCTGCTGCTGCTGCTGCTGTTTCTACAGGTTGTTGCTGCTGTTTTGCTGCAGGTTCTGCGCCATCTCGTTTGAGGCCCGCGCAACGATCGCATGAGACTCATACCTGACACACAGCAGCAGCAGCAGCAGCAGCAGCAGCAGCAGAGTAGCAGCAGCAGCAGCAGCAGCAGAGTAGCAACAGCAGGAGCAGCAACAGCATCAGTAGCAGCAGGAGCAGCTGCAGCACCACGACCAGCAGCAGCAACAGCAGCACCAAGAGAAGCAGCAGCAGCACCAGGAAGAGCAGTAGCAGTAGCATCAGCAGCAACATCAGCAGCAGCAGCAGCAACATCAGCAGCAGCAGCAGCAGCACGAACACCAGCAGCAGCAGCAGCACCACCACCACC